CGGATTGATTCTGCACTCGTTCCGTCCATGGCCTATCAGGAAAGACTCTGGTTCTGCAGGGACCATTTCTGAGAAGGTAACCAGAAAGAAGAACGTCCTCCAAGTCCTTTTCATCTTTCAGGGTAACGCGGAGTACTGTGGGTTCCCCAGAATGTGGCGACGTCGACTGGCGCATAAGTCTTGTGAGGCCCACAGGTAGAACATTAATTCCCATCTGCGTGCACAAGCCCTTCCAGTGCTCCAGCTTGTCTTCTTGTCGTTCTCTCAGTTGTTGTTTTGTCGGTTCAGGTATATTTGAGCAAATAAGCGTCAAGACGGTATTGCTCCCACAATTTTCTTTGCTAACATTTTCCTTTATGTTCACTAGTGGATTAGAACTGAAACATCACTATATATGACAGTTTCGGCCTCTGTATGTACGAGTGGCGAGACTATCAATGCTAACGCGTAGACGCACCACCTCGTTTGGCAAAGTACAGCCAATTAACCAATGTTCAGTATGAGAATAGCTAATCGTCCGGATGACCTGAGTGTGAGAATAGGAGGAGCGACAAAGTCTAATGGAAGGAGGAAAGAACAAGGGACAGAAAGGAAGATCATATGCATGTGTGGAATACACTAGTTTATTAGGTCCAGGGCATTTAATTAGCAATTGGAAAGACCGAAAAGTCTGCACGTACACGAAAAGGGTATTGGAGTATCTACTGAAATAGCATGCTTTTTCCAAGATGTTTCGTTCGACTCAAAGCGGTTGGGTAACTGGAGTTCGTGTGCACATTAAGAAACTGAGCTCGAGAATAAGCTATACCAGATTCTCATTCACGTCACTATAATCATGTGAGACCATGGCATTACTTAACGAAAGTCTTCCATGATCAAATGGTGTAGTTTACAAATATGACACAAATGTCACGAATGCGAGAATGGTCGGCGCAAAATTGCATTTCAACGGGAGACCAGGACTGAGTAAGTGATGTATGTGGGTGTTCACCTCGTGCGACGTACCTCTTGCACGTTGATCCAAAAAACTGGTCGCATCACTCTTGATTCTTCGGGTTTGTGGCGAGTGCATTGGAGAGGCGAACACATCGGGCAGATCAAGTCTGGCCCCGAGATGAGCGACATCAATGTCACTCTGCGGAGGCTGTAAACAAGGTGAACAACAACAAAACAGATCATTCATCCCGTGGCGAATGACTGAAGTTCTTGGAAAAAACAGCTTAACCAATGGGTGAGAAATTCCTCGTAGCGCAATTAGGGCACGGCCAGTGGCCTCGATCGGATTTTAAACGACAGAATATATATATATATATATATATATATATATAACCCACTTACAAAACATCGAATCATAGCATTGATTCTACAATGGACTGGCTCTGAAAGAGCTACAACAATAATTACAGCAGCAGGGGGTAGAAGGGTTGGGATACAGAACACAGTAAAATTAAGGTTAAACAGTTAAAATGGACAACAACAGACAACAGGAAGAATAACAATTTTTCGTGTTTCTACGGTAAACTCCACCAGTTACG